GAGTGGGGGAGTGGGGGGGAGTGGGAGATAGAATTAGCGTCCAAGGTATATAGAAGCAGAAAATATGAAGTCCTTGAATTTTTAATACACTTGTAATGTCAAAGTGGTGCCATGTGGCTGAAGATAAGCAAATTACTAACTTTGTATTTAAGAAAGGCTTAAAGAAAATGGGATTTTGGCACCTGTGAATTTCTTGGTCTGTCAGATAGAATGTCAGCTTTAGAATTTATGGGAAAGAATAATGGCAGACAGGAACGTAAATGGTACATACCAAAGCCAGTAGAGAGTAGATTAATTCAATGTCTTTCTTCCCTAAAATAACTGGTTTTCTAGACAAGGGACATGCAGAAGGTAATTCTAGACTTCACCAAAGCATTTGACATGAGAAATTGTTAGTTGAGAGTTGAAGAGAGAGAAATCAGCAGAGGAATCATAAACGGGGGAGAGAACTGGCTGATGCAGACGTTAGTGCCTACATACTCTGCTGAAATGGGAAGCTGGGCCTAAGGGAGGTTATGAGCAGAGTTTTCTGAGTCTAGTCTTTTGATAAATGCTTGCAGTAATGACCTGGACACAAAAGGTAGGAATGTGCTAACAAAATGTGCTGAAGCCACATGGGGAAGGTGTTGTCATTACAAATGACCAAAATATCATGCAGTAAGAATAAGAACAACTAGATTATTTGACTAGTACAGACAGCAAGAACTGTAGTAGTAAGTTTTGGTGACCAACAGTAGGACTTTTACAGCCTGAGAATGCTGTAGTAATGGGAAACAAGAGAGGTGGCATCCTCTGCTTTGGGTATCTAAATTGTCTATTAATTACCAGTGTGCAATGAATCACTGTTAAAGGATGTGTGAGATGAAGGATTTCCAGCAGATGACAGGCAAGCATGGCACTGAAGTATGGTGGAAATTGAAAAGATTATGTGGAATGGGTAGAATTGTATAAAATGAATAGGGCTTTGGACAGAATGAATTGTTGAGAACTCCTGGTGTTTGACTACATGGGCAGAGTTTTACCTAGCCTTGATGTTACAAGCCAGCTGGTGTTGCAATGTTATTTCTGTACAACAGCTTCCATTTCCTATTTTCTCTGAGCTGGCTCTGGTCTTTAAAGACATAATGAACATTATTGCTGCAGTGGTTGAGTGGGAGTGAAGAGTGGTGAAGACAGTATGGGTTGCAAATGGGGATGTATACTGGACTGAATGGAAGGTGAAGAGAGGACAAGTGCAGGAGCAGCCCAGTGACTAGAGATAAGGGAGGGATGGATAAGCAGGTAGCTAACAAGTGCATGTGCTGAGAGGGAGTGAGGGATGGACAATGGGTGAAGGATTATCAGGATTAACTATATTGATATTGGTATTCATGTAGGTGTCTAAATACCTATGACAATATAGATGTCTAGATATCTGTATCTATATAAATACAGATAAATATATATATATATACTTTCATTGTATATGTATATGTAAATATATATGCTGTATATAGTACGGTATGATATATATATCATGATGTATATACACACACGCTCATATATACATATATGGTTAGGCACAAGAATTGCTCGCCTGCTGTAGAATGCAGGAATCACTTGTCTGAAATTACTGTCCATTTTAAGTATGATCTGGGCAGCGGTAGTGATGTCTCAGGGCCTCTCCCACGGTATTTCCCTTGGGGACTGAGCCTTGGTACTGTAGTGAAGGAGCCTGCCTGGCATCCTCCGCAGGAGGAGGTGCTGATGAAGGCTGTGTCCCCCTCCCACAGCTGCGTGGTGGATGAGATGGACTTCTCAGGCATGGAGCTGGATGAAGCCCTGCGGAAATTCCAGGCCCACATCCGCGTGCAGGGGGAGGCACAGAAGGTTGAGCGACTAATTGAGGCTTTCAGGTAAGAGAATGAGCCCTGCAGCCCCACTGCTGCAACCAGGTGGAAGCAAAGAGCACACCCAAGGCAGAAAACATGCAGCAGCCATGGAGTGAATGGCCAGGGACCTCCCTTCCAAAGAAGGTGATCATGGAGGGGCTTCTGAAGCATGGAGTCCTCTGTGCCACAGCTGCGGCAGAGCTATGTCCTTGTCAGTTGTTCAGTGGCAAATCTACCAAAGGGCCAGAGTGAGGCCAGTCCTGACATGTCTGCCAGCAAGGGACTCCCTGTTCATTGGTGACTCACAGGAAGAGCAGCACTGGGGCTTGCAGGGGTGCTGGGTTTCTCCCTTAGCACAGCAGGCTGGAGTAGACACCTCTGATATTACCTTTACATAGTGACACCAGCCTGAATAGTCCTCTCTAGTCTCACTTGCTCTTTTGGTTCCTGAGGACAAGAAGGCTGAAGTTTCAGTGGCCTACTTCAGCTGTTGGTAGGTAAATTTGCCTTCAGAAAGCAGTCAGTTCCTTCTTATTTGTGTGAGAGGTGGAGTGAAAGGATGAATTTGATCCACTTGTGATGAAGCCATTGCCACCCTGGAGTAGAGGACTCCCATGTTCCATGTTAAGTGTGTGCATCCCTCCTGCTGCAGCCAGAGGTACTGCATGTGTAACCCAGATGTGGTCCAGCAGTTTCACAACCCGGACACCATCTTCATCTTGGCCTTTGCAATCATCCTCCTCAATACAGACATGTACAGCCCCAACATCAAGCCTGACAGGAAGATGATGCTGGAGGACTTCATACGCAATCTGAGAGGTGAGAGTCCTGCTTTGATTTTTTTGCCCTCTTGCTTTAAATTCTGCCTAGATGAAGGCAGCAAAAACCTAGTAGAGCTGCCTTTCTCCAGGGCTGCTGCTGCTCCCTGTGAGCCAGACATGGAGGGCCCTTTGAGGTGTCTTCTATGATACTGGGGAAGATCTAAGCTTTGTCTTCTGCAGAAAGCTGTCTAGCCTTCTCAGGAACCAACCATTTTCCTTGAGAGATGGTTTAATCTTTTTATAGATCCGACTGCTTGGAAGCAGTCCATTGTATTACATTTCCCTATTGTTCAGCTCCATCCTTCTTAGACCCTGCTGTATTGTGCTAAACAAGCCCTTCCCCTCCTTGCTGCTTTGAATATATGAACACATTTTCCTTCTATTCAGGCTAGATCTTCCCCTTCTTAATTGCTTGCAATTACTTATAGTAACTGTAGGCGTGACAGAGTTCATGCATACATTACCTTTTCAGAATTTCTGATACATCAGTTCCCCAAATCAATTTTCTTCTGTTTTTCAAGGTCGGTCCTTCCCATCTTGGTAATAGGTTGCTAAAAGGAGTTTTTCAGATGTGGTCACAATATAATCATATATAAAGCCACTGCCTCCTCCTTATTTTCAGCTCTGCTAATGCAGCTTAGTATTGTTTGGCCTTTTTGACATCATGTCTAGACAAATTCTTGTCTAATTTCCCAGCCATGTTCACTCCTAGGTCATCCTAGGTCAGCCATCTTCCAAGTGTCTCTTACAGCACATCTGCAATTCAGATGAAACTCCCTCAAACTTTTTCCAGTGTAAATTGCTGTCTAGATTTTGAACTTCTGTGGGTTCCTTTGACTTACTTCTTTGTCCTGACTGCTGTTCAGAAAGTTTCATCTCAGCCTCCCACACCTTCCCTGATTTGACAGCCACTTTGTCATCCACTTCAGACTGGTGTAATGCGACACTGAGGCCCTCTTTCAAGTTATTTCCTGAGATACTGAATGGGGCTGATACCTGACATCAGACCCTTTGGTATTACAGCTGATAGCGCTAACGCAAAAGGTTTTTTTGTGTTAACTTACACTTAAAGTGTCTTGAAAATCCGCCAGTTCACATAAACATAAATTCGGCCAACATGAGGATCACTTACCTCCAGTGTGTGACACACCACAATTCTCTAGAGTGAGTGAATGTCACCCCATTACAGACAAGGGGAGACAGTTCATCCCAGACTCACCTGCAGGCCAATGCCCAGGTCAATATATTTACCAGCCTGTATTTGGAAAAAGAAAGAGTATTCAGGCTACATTTGCAAGGATGTGGATGAGGAAGCCAGGAGGTGATAATGCTTCTCCACTCCTCAGAAAAAGCAGAGAAAATCAATACAAAATGACTGAAGGAATTCAGTTCAGAGGAAAGACTGACAATTTAATTTACGGTGTTAGGCTCAGGGAAGGGTGAAAGAAAACATTTCTGCCAAGTTCTGCAAGGGTCAGACAGCAAAATTTGGAGAGTTATCTAAGGAGATGTAAAAGAGGAAAGGGACAGAACCAAGACAGAGATATCACAGACAGAGTAGCAGGAGAGTATTACTCCTAGGAGACAGCAGAGAAGGAAAGTGGTGGAGGCCACCAAGCAAACAGGAGAGCTGACACTTGCATTGGCAGGAGGAGCAGCTGAATCCCATCATAGATCTCCTCCACATCTAGCACTTCTGATGATATGAAATCAATGCAGGGGGTGCTGCTGAGTGGCCCGAAATATATGAATGTGAAATTGTGGCTATAAAACCTTAGGGAACACATGGAAAGGAGCCACCATGCAGAGCAATGGAATAATGAAATCTTCTGCATTGGCCTTAGAGATGTCAGTCTTTCCTGCTGGTGCATTAGGTGTGTTAGAGCAAGAAAGAAGACAGCCTGAAGTATTGCTCTTTCCCAGCACTGCACAGTGCAGAGGCACTAGTTGCCTGTCAGGGTCCACTGGGTCCTCCCTTTCCTTTTACGTCTGCCTAGCCTGCCCGACATCTTCTGTGTTTGGCAGGGGTCGATGATGGTGCTGACATCCCACGGGAGCTGGTAGTGGGGATCTACGAGAGGATCCAGCAGAAAGAGCTAAAATCCAATGAGGACCATGTGACTTATGTCACCAAAGTGGAGAAGTCCATTGTTGGAATGAAAACGGTGAGCATCCATAACCCTGCTGGCACCCACTCACGCCTCTTACCCCCATCTCCCTCTCTGCCCTCTTTTCTGCCTTTCTCCTATGGCCCTACTCCTCTTCTGTAATACTTCCCTTGCTTGTCTTGATGAATTAATTCCTTTTTCTCCAAACACTTTCTTCCTTGCTATCTCATTCTTTCCTAATTTGGGGGGATGTCCTTGGCCAGAATTTACAGTATCTGGTGTGGTAATTGTTTGCCCAAGAACCTCATTGCAGATCCTGCCTGCCAATGCAGGTCCTGCCTGCCAATGCTCTAGTGATAACTCTGCAGTGTTTCAAATTTTCAGGCCTTATGAGGGTGCAGGAAGCTGAAGTCAAAGTGATAGAAAACAATATCACCCATCTGTCTCTAATGAGCTCTCTAAGGATTGACAAGGTTAAGAGACCCCCAAATGCAGAGACAGCTTCTTTAGCATTAACCGATCTGTATTGCAAAAACATACATACTATTTACCCAAAATGAGCAGCATAATTTCTCAGAGGCCAGGAAACCTGCAGATGTCCAGTGGGGTGAGAGGGGATGAGCAGTCACCCAGTGACTGAAAGCCAGAGGTATGTGAAGATAGGATGTGTGAGCAAGAGGGTTGCCTATAGGCTGTCCCACTCCTCTGATTTATCCACATCACAAAGGCATAGCTCTCTCTGCTGTTGCACCAGCAGGAAAAGTGATGGTGAGGAGCGGTGGTGAGGAGACAATTTGAGTCAGCAGAGTGGGCAGAACTGGCTTGTGCTAACTGTCACTGGGCAGGGTTGTGCAGGCTGAGGGTGGGGAAGAACCACAGTGGCACCTCCCTCAGCCTCTGCATGCTCTTGTGGCTCTTCCACAGGTTCTGTCCGTGCCCCATCGGCGGCTGGTCTGCTGCAGCCGCTTGTATGAAGTGACTGATGTGAACAAGGTGCAGAAGCAGGCAGCTCACCAGAGGGAAGTTTTTCTCTTCAATGACCTGCTGGTGGTGAGTGTGCTCTGGCAATTAGGCACTGCAATGATAAAACTCACCCTGATTTCTATAAAGAAATCTAAAACCAGTCCACAACACCCATTTCCCCCCTGTTCTAAGGACAGACCATCTCCTCGTCCATCAACATTGTAAGACACAGCTGTGGATCTTTCACTGTTAAAAACCTACTGAATCTAAAACTACTCTAACCCTTGAAAAAACAGTCACATCCCACAGACATCCAAGCAATGTCATTGCTCTCTCCCATGCCTTTGCCAGCAGGGAGGTTCATTTCATGAAAGGAAGGTTCATTTCTTTGTCTGTTTGCACTATAGTAGACAGAGCCCTCCCGCGCACTTTAAATCTTTCCTGCCAGACACTTTAAAACCACTACCTTCTAACATTGCAAAGGCTGTAGGAGAGTAGATACTACTTACTGGACACCCAAATGTGTATAGGCCAGGTTGGATGGGTCTTTGAGCAACCTGGTCTAGTGGAAGGTGTCCCTGCCCATGGCAGGAGGGTTGGAACTAGATGGTCTTTAAGGTCCCTTCCAACCCAAAGCGTTCTGTGATTCTATGAATCTATGATAGTACTTTTAAAAGTGTCCTGCCCCAACAACCTTGCAGCTGAGTTCAGACAGGTACAAGAGAGGGCAGAGGTACACTGAGACTGGGACAAGGCCAAACAAGATGGAAGTTCTGCTGAATTTAATGGCAAAAAGAAAGTGGGTGTTACAAATGTAAGGCTAAAACCAAACCCTTTTGTAGGAGCAGAGGACAAGAGAGCTTTCCCCACCTGTTTCTCTGCGCCAATTTGTACAGTTGTGAACCTGGGGAGAGGGTCTGCTCCTTGCCACCCTTCTACTCCATGGGATAAATCAGAACCGTAAGAACTAGTGCAGAGGGAGCGAGGGCAGCACAGCATTCACATATGCTCTCGTTCCCAGCTCTAAGGTATTTCTGACAGGCTTCCCTTTGCCTTTTGATCTGGCCCTTGATGAAGAGAATTACCCTTGCAAATTCAGAAATGTGGGCATCAAAAAGCCAGCACCCCTGGGAGACAGAGAGCTGAGTGGGGCCCAGGGCTACTCATACAGGATTTCACAAGTTGTTACAAGTGCAGCATGCCAGGCAGCTTTCTGGCCAAAGAGCCTGTCAGTCAGCAAGTATTACTCCCATGTACAATTAACAGGGCTTGCAAAAAGCTTTTTTGCTTTGAGCAGTTTGCGTTGGTCTTGCCTCACTGTTCCCCAGCACCCTGCCCAATGATGCATCTTTCCCTCCAACAGATCCTCAAGCTTTGCCCCAAGAAGAAAAGCTCCTCAACATACACATTTTGCAAGTCGGTTGGCCTGCTAGGGATGCAGTTCCATCTCTTTGAGAATGAATGTAAGTCTGTTGCTCCTCGGTTGCCTGGAGGGGTTTGGCAGGGAAAAGGAGAAGGAAGGAGGGGAGCTGCGTCACCCAGTGTGAGTTTGCATCATAAGAGAGATTCCATCAGGCTTAAAAGTGTAGGCTTCGTGCTGAGGAGATCGCTGTGTGAGTACAATGTGATGAGAAAAGGCTCCTGGTACCTCTTGCTAGGTCTGAGCACCTGCAGAGGGGCTGAACTTAAGCTCACTGAAGGATCTGGCTTATCATGGTGGCAGGGAGAGCACTAGTGGGGAAGAATGAAGAATTCAATCCTCAGATATATCTCACTGATCTCTCGGGAGCCAATTGTAGGTGGAGAATCTCATTGACAAAACTGATGCTGCCAGCTTTAGCCCCTCTTTCCTCGAGCCCAAAGTCACGACTCCCGCCTCTACCTTCCACATCAGCAAAGGCTCAGGTGCTGCTGCTGCCTCCCCACACTCTGCCATGCTGTGCTGTGCTGAAAGCTTCCCAAGGCAGAAGCAGAGCCCTCGGAACAGCACCCACCAAACATGGCAAGAGGCCAGCCCTAGTCATCTTGACCTTGATGGTCTGGGAATAGAGCCATGATGTGTCACGATTGAGGCTGGTTGTGCTGTGGAGGAATTCCAGAAACAGGCGGGCTTCCTGCTGGCACAGGCAGAGGGGCTGCACAGCAGTCCTAGGCAAGTGTGGCTGATGCCCACTGGGGTTTTTGTGAGCACCTGCAGAACATGCTGCAAGGAAGGAAGACTGGAGCAGCACTGTGGCTATACTAAGTTTTTTACATCCTCCCTCTACCCTGTTGCCAGCATGAGTCACTCTCTCAACACCCTACCCTCTGGAGCATGAAGAGGCTTTCACATCCCTGTATATACAAAAGAGTCATTCATACCTGAACATCCCCAGGAGGCACCATCAGAGGTGCTATCAGTTTTCAGGGATATCACGACTATCCTGGGAGTGCCCAAGGATCTTCTGGTAAAGGCATCCTGTTGTGTATCCCCTGCAGAGACAGAAAAGCAGATGTCCTAAAGAGCTTGTGATCTGAACAGATGAGACAGACACAGGGTGGGAAAAGGGGCCTGGGACAAAAACGGGGGGAGCTGAGAGCTGGCAGCAGATAGCAGGTTGGTCCTTTGACTTGTTTGGTAAAGACTGATAAAGGAGGAGGGTGGGGAAGGCAAGCAGCTGCAGGAGAAGTGGAGAAGGAGAGAAAGCAGGACAGGGGAAGAGAGAAATTAAATGAAGAGAAAGGTGAGAGGGAAGGAGAAAAGAGATTGAAACCACTGGCCATTGAGCAAAAGGCAGAGAAAGTCCAGTCACAAGTGTAGCAAGTTCTCTGCACCCTCTTGTTCTCCTGCTTCTGTTGGCTGAATCTCCAGCCACCACCTCCCTGCACCCAACCTGATCTTTAAAACACAAGGCCTTTTATTGTGATACTTTCACTCTCTGGGCATGTCATTTCATTTACTTTCTCGTGTGTTTTCCCTGTCGGGGAGTGCTAACCAGAGACCTACAAACCCACATCTTTCTCTTTACCCTTCTCTCTGCACAGCGCAATGAGCTTACCATTCATGCTGTGCTAACACCCCTGCCATGCTCTCTGCTGATGGAAGTAGAGACTGTGGAGAAGTCCTGCCACTGTGGACATTAATGGCTGGTTTGGGATTGGGCTTTGGCTCCAGAAACCAACCTCTCCTGCTGCATCTCCCACAGGCCTCATGCTCTTGGCCTCATATATACTGTTTACTCTTACATAAACTCAGAAGGGCTTTACAGTCCTACCTCTGTGCTCAGGTTCACAGAACCCATGTTGCCCTAAAAGCTAGATTTTTCTGGTTTTGGTAGTGCTGTGGTGCTCATGCCACTTGCCTTGCTGCTGCAGCTTGGTGATTCTGTTCCCTTGGAGGGCTGCAATGCTGCAGGTTGCCACAGTTTGCAGTGTGACAAACTCTAGGTATACGAATCCTTTGGACTCATGTTGGAAACTCTCTGTCCTGCAGAGGTACAAAAGCAGCCAACTACTCCAGCAAGAATGCCTGATGCCTTTTTATTTTGTCAACACATCTTCTTTACAGATTACCCTCATGGCATCACACTGGTCACTCCAGTTTCGGGCTCAGAGAAGAAACAAGTACTACACTTCTGTGCTCTGGGTGCTGAGGAAATGCAGAAGTTTGTGGAAGATCTGAAAGAGTCAATAGCAGAAGTGACAGAGCTGGAGCAGATACGAATTGAATGTAAGGGCCTCTAATACAATTCACACTCCAATGCCATCACACTGCATGTGTCTGCAAGGGAGAAGGGGTAAAGGAAATGGGTTCTTCAGTAGCAGGGGGAAGGCGGATGAGTAGCCCAAGTTTGCACAGGATTGTTCTTGTGTTCACTGACAGGGTGAAAAAGCAGGCTCTGTGTCCACCCACTAGCAGGAGAAATTAAAGAACTTAACTATGTATGATGTTTATGAAACAGGATGTGTGATCCAGTGGCCTGGAATAGTGAAGTTTAGACCATCAGACCCAGAAGGATCTTCTCCATCCCATACTTCTTTGACTATGCAAATATGATCTGTAGATAGCTGGGAAGAACAAGACAGGTCTGGTAGCCTTAGTAGCCTTGTCCTTCACTCCAATAATGTCTAGGGGTCAAGCACTCTGTACTGTGTCCCTCTGTGGCCTCTTCCCCAGATGTATGTAGTATTTGATAGCTTTTCCACGTATAAACTGATGAGGCAAAGTAACTCAGCACCAGTGGTCCCCTCCCGTGCAGCAGTAACCTATTCTGTATAAAAGCAGGTCATACATAGAAGGTTGTGTGGAGATATATAAGTTGCTCCACATGTGAAGTCCTCTCCAGTTTCTGTTTTTTTTTTTCTTGGCTGTGCCTCTGTCCCTCCCTTCTTGAAACTCTCTTGTCATTTTGTTGCATTAATTCTCCTTGCTGTCTTCCCATATTGCTCTTTCAATATGCTGCTGTCCTTCACTCCATCTCTCTCCTCATTCACTTCTGTGTGTCTGTCTTGCAGGGGAGCTGGAGAAACAGCAAGGGGCAAAGACTCTCTCGTTAAGGACCAATGGAGCCCAGATGGAACTTCAATCTAAGCAAGGCTCTCCAACAGGTAAGAGGACACCCAGCTTCTCTTGGTCAAGCAGTGCTGCCTTTGCAAAGGTGTTCTCATTGATTCCTGTGAGAATAACTGCAAAAAGAAATGTTCAGGTTTGTATCCTTTAGCCTTGGGCAAATAGTGGAAATATGAGAGGATATGCATTCTTCAAATGCCCTAGAAAAGCCCTTAAAGTCTCAATACCTAGTCTGTAGCTGTAACATGTAGCAAAGACGTGTTCCTGATGAAGCATAGGTAACTGCTGGAGAACCTGGACCACTTTTTCTTCCCTGAACTGGTGCAATACAGTAACTGCACTATTAACTTCCTCCAGCCTCTTCACCAACACTTTGGACCAGCCTCTTTGTATCGAAGGCTTTGTGTCTATTCATGCCTTGGCTTGTATGCCAGCAAAAAACAAGTGCAAAGGTGAGTGGCTACCAACTCACTAGAATGGCACTGAGATCAGGACCCAAGAATAGGACCCCAAAGGGGCCTTCTCCTACCCCACTAAGCGGCTACCAGGTTGCAAGAGGGTCTGGATTTGTTCTTGCAGTCAAGAGTCCTGCTTGGCTCTTCACCTGTCCCTTTAGCTTTCCAGTCCACAGTATGAGGGCCCGCTCTTGACTAAAGGTACAGACCTCATGAGTGAGACCTTTTATTTTATTTCAAAGGCAAAAAGGATTTGGGGGAGAAGGTCTCGGACAGCACAGTGGAGGTAAGTAGAGTGCAGAGCAGCTGAGGTAAGTAATTCTCTCTCACTTCAGCTCTTCTCACATTCTCTGTTGTTTCTTTTCTCAGGTTTTAATCAATGCCTCCCCAGCCAGACTGACAATTTTACCAATTTCCAGAGATACAATTAAAAGTTACTGCTAGGACGGGTAATACAACTTTCAAATCCAAACTAAACTTCAAAGCATTTTCAATTTTTATAACTGTAACATCCCTCATGGACCAAGCTCCCAAACGCTGTAGACTAACCCACCCCACTGCTTATGGGGAGACTGAGAACCCCACTAAAGACTTCCCTGACATGCTAACTCCATGCAGCATCACATGCAAATTCCCTGCAGCCCAGCTTTCCTGCACAATCTCTGCAGCTCTGTTTCTCCATCCCCCCTTGACGGGGATTAAGCATGGCCTTTGTATACCAGAGACTTTCCCTAGAGCTTCACCTTCCTAGGTAGGGAGCTTGGCTGTCCTGTGTACATCTATCTTTGCAGGGATGTCTAGCATCCAGTGGGTTGCCTGTTTCTTCACAGACACCCATACTCCCACTGCCTGTGAGGAAACAGGAAAATGCAATCTTCACACTGAAAGTCTTATCTACTACTTCCTACTCTCTCCCTGTCTGGAATATCTCCATTGTCCTGAATTTGCCCTTTTTCCAGGGTAGTTCTATCCCCTCTTGTCATAGTGTACTTACTTGAAGAGTTCAGCTTCTCTGTGGGGAATGGGTGCTGCTTCTTTTCCCTGAAGAGCATCCTATTTCCCTGCAGACACCCCCTTTCTGGGGAAGGTGCCTCTCCCCAGCCAGTTTCCTATTCCTGTTGGGAAGAGTGTTTCCATGTGGAGAACGGCTTCCATGTAGCCTAATATCATTGGCACTTCATGGCCCAACAACTAGTTTTTCCTATAGGGTGTTCCACAGCCTGAATAAATATTGACATAGTATTATGTCCTGCTGTGAAGTGAGTCTGAGCAACCTCCATGCTTGAGAAAGGGACAGACAGCTCATCCTTGTTCCAGCATGGTGAGAAGCTTGGCCACTCCACAGCTTCTCCTTCCCAGTTGCTGGCGCTGCTGCCAAACGTGCCAGACCATCAAGGCAACCCCACTGTCCCAGCTGCACATCTGTGCCCCTGTCTAGCTGGAAGTGCCGTGCCAACCTGCAAGCACTTCTTTCCTACCCAGAGTTTGTCACTTGACTGACATCCTGTTTTGAGGCAGCAACTTTGCTGTGGTTTGGGGTCTCCATCAGTCCATGTCCTTGCCAGGAGGAACTGTAGCTTCATGCACTATTCGGGAAGTCTCATTT